AAATCCAAGCACGGCACACATATTTTACAAAATCATGTATCTTTTAAGCATTTCTACAGTTAAATGGCATTTAAACACATTTCTTTTAAATGAATATTTGAATTAACATACACTGTTCAAAAAAATAAAGGGAACACTCAAATAACACATCCTAGATCTGAATGAATGAAATATTCTCATTGAATACTTTGTTCTGTACAAAGTTGAATGTGCTGACAACAAAATCACACAAAAATCATCAATGGAAATCAAATGTATTAACCAATGGAGGCCTGGATTTGGAGCCACACAAAATTAAAGTGAAATGTTCCCTTTATTTTTTTGAGCAGTATATTTAATCTCTATATTGATCCAGCACTATGGAGAACAAAAAGGATATGAGGATGAGGAATCCAGAAAGTGTCACTGAGCCACCCAGCACTGTTATCCTGCTCCTGCAGCCTTTCATAGGTACTCTGTAGATGTCTGGCATCCTCTTCGTCCAAACCGTCCCTACAGATGTTATGCAGGATATTATACTCCTCACACTGTGAACGTCTCCTCAGGCGATGATCCTGACACCACCAATTTATTCCCTTAAACAATCTTTGACGAAGGCGGGCCCTCTTTCTCCGCCTCAGCCTCCTCAACAGTTTTTGCCTCGATGAGGGTTTGACGTCATTATAAAGCCCCGGCATATTCTCCAGTCCCTGCAAGGGTTTTGTTCTCACACCTGAGCCCATGCGTACACAGTTTCCATCGGCAGAGTCAAACGAAGATTCAGAAAGACTGGATGGAGAGGATATAGGGAGGGGAGAAACACGAAGAAGGCTGTCACATAACAAAGGAAGAGACATCTGTGTCTTCCTCCTGTGGACGATGTCTCTTCTAGGTAAGAAGATGTCCCTTCCAGGAGTTTTTGGGGGAGTGATATACGGATTGCTCGACAGTGGTAGAACGTCTGGAGGGCTGCAGAGAGGTGAAAAAACTGTGTTTCCCTCGAAAGTTCCTGTCGTTTGACCAATTGTTGACATACTGCTGTAAGTCCATCCACCGCTTTCCTCCCTCCCAGGAGTTTTAGGCTTCTCCTCGTACGATGGGTAGGAGGCAGGTGGGAAGTGGGAAGAAGCTAGAAGAACATCACTACTTTCTGGGGAGAGAGACATGACTTCACTGGCTTCATCCGAGTCCAAATCGATCAGTTTGGCAGCGATCCCCTTGCCTGGTGTGGGTGGCCTCTCCACTTCATCCAGAGGTGCTGGAGACGCCGGTTTGCTTTTGATCAGATTGTCAGGGTCACTGTCCACCAAGCTGCCAGTGGGAGTGAGAGGCCTCAGGTCATCTATGCCCTCCACAGACTCTGGAGTCCAGGCACGGCATCTCGATTGCACACAGAGACCTGGCTCTGCTGATTAACGAAACAAGAAAACAGATTTACTTATGTTCAATCGAGAAAATTCTGGTTTGAGAAAAAAATGAATCTTGGGGAAAATTACTACAACTTTAGAAGGAAAATACAAAAGACTCTGAAACAATTACCTTCCAGTCCAATAGGTGAAATGAGCTCTGAGTCTGAATGGTCACAGTGCTGCAGCTCCACCATGGAGTCCACATCGCTGCTCCCTTGGAGGCCGGCTGTACAGTTCTGCTCCGTCTGATCCCTACGCCGTGACTCTAACCAGTCCTCCAAGTCCAGCTCCAGCTGTGCTCCAGGTGTTAGAGGAGCAGTGGGAGTCGCAATGAGCTCCAGCTCCACCGACTCTTCATCAGAAGATATCACAATGCATTTGTCATCACTCCTGTCATCCTCCTCCTCATCCTCCTCCGTGTCATCATGTTGTGAACTGAGGTCGGAAGACGAGTCATCGAAGCTCTCTGAGGACTCCGACGAGTAATCGCTTTCTTCCGAGGCGCTGCTCTCTGATAATCTCTCTGCAGATTAAGATGAAATTATTGACTAATATGTGATAAGTTAGATATTTTTTGTGTTGCAGCTTTTAACAAACCTCTTCCAAGGCGTCGTCCATCGGTACTAGCCCGGCAGACAACAGCATCTTCATCTTCCAACCTTTTCTGTGCTGATGTCCTTTCTTCACATCGCTGACCAACTTCATCTCCATCATCTCTGTCAGACTAATTAAAGGATGTCTTATTTGCCACGGTTTTATCAAATTCAAACTTAGCAGTTTAAGAAATCGATGTGAAAACACAAAATCTTAGAAAGTATATCTGTCTAGTTTCAAGCGCAAATATCTTAGTAAACTTGAAATAAGGAAAAACTAATTTACAAGAAACTTTTCAACAAGATATAGGAGCTTGTTTTAAGTCCACAATCCCTTAACATTGATTTAAAAAGTAAAAGTTCAACTGGAATATTTTTTCACTCCTAACACGGGAAAAATGTTTTGTTGTACGTGGAAAGAGCTGCCAGTGGAAATAGTACTTTTTAAAACAATCAATATTAAAGAATTATTTACTGAAAACAAGCTCCTTTATCTGGATGAAAAGCTGATTTTAAGCTAGTTTTGTCTTATTTCAAGTGTACTAGAAAATAGACGGAAAACACTTGCTAAGATTTTGTGATTTTGAGGTAATATTAAATGATATCAGGACGATATGCTAACAACAGATGCACTAATCAAAATGTTGACTTCTGATCTCCACTTTTTGTAAATCGGCTGATTTAGTCAATTTGATAAGTACAGTAAAGGAAAGTCTAAACAACAGTATTCAAAATATGTAAGAGTTCATTAATTATTTATATTACAAGCACAGACTACATCAGTTCTAACTGGTAGTGATGATGTATCGCATCATCACTGATCAGAAAGAAAATTGTACTTCCAGGCACTGGTCACTGCTGCTGAAAATCAGCTGATTCCTCATCATGGACTTATAGGTTCTTCTCTAATTATAAGAGATAATTTTATTGCCCACTATAATTACTTTACAAGCATTTACCATAAGAACTGGGATAATAGCCTCTACTTGGTCTGACATCTGGTGGTTATCGTTATGTGTACTGTCTTCTTCCTTCTCTTCATCATCGCTGTCCAGCTCCAGAGGTCTGGCATGTCTCCGTTTGGCTGCGTTTGATTTCTCCACATCATCATCCTCCTGCTGCAGCTTTAAAGCTGAAATAAATATTTGGACACAAATTGGCTAAAAGGGAAATGTTCTAGTCTGGTAACAAGAAGATAAAAATAACAACAATATTCCAACCTTTCTGGGCAGAACTGGACTCGTTTTCTGTTTCCTCTGATCGTTTTCTTTTTACCTGAATAAAAAGTGTTTTAGCATGAATAATTCATTCACTATGCAGTGGTATAACAGTGTGACTAATATTGGAAAAATATTTTACCCTGAATGAAGGCAGAGGAGGTTTCTTGCCCTTCTCACTAATGTGGCTGAGGAGATTCATGACGCCTGGTGCTCCGCTTTTCACGGGAGAAACTTGGACCTTGAACGGGAAAATGTACACTCATGATGCAAAAATGTATTTGCTTGTAGGGTTGCAACTAACTATTATCTTAGTTCTCGATTAATCTATTGGTTGTTCTGACGATTTATTGATTAATCGGATAAAAAAAGTTTTGGCACCTTCTGCAGATTTTTCACTTTTAATATCAGAAATACACCGGTAGACTATTTTTAGATTAACCCACTAACAATGGGATCACAAACGGTGCCTAAAAGGAGATTTTTAGTTATTTTTTACAGTATTTGAACCGGGTGAAGCTAAAACTAGGCAACTTGAGGAGTTTTGGGTTGAATATATTTAAAAAAGTTTGTTCTTATCTTAAGATCAAAATGTTAACATTTTTGGCTTAATTTGCCTTAATCTTTCAGGAATTGGTCTTTTTTTGGGGGGTCTGTGTACTTCCACACAATTAATCAATAACTAAATTAGTTGAGGGCTATTTGAATAATTGGTTAATCCGATTAATTGAGCCCTTTCCAGTCCTATTTGCTTGACACACAAAAAAGTTTACCCAAATCAATTCATCAGGGCATTAAACTTAAAACACAACAAGCAAACCTTTTTCTTCTCTTGACAGTCCCACCATTCCTCAAACGCCCTAAAAGCCACTCCTTCAATCGTTCTCCGAGTGATGTCTTTCCTGATGATGGATTTCAGCTCATCCATGAGAATGTCTAAAACCTTCTCCACTGTTATCTTATGGCGGTGTTCCTGTGCAGGACTGTAGTTTGGTGGTGGCACGAAGGGGTTAAAAGAGGGAAAAGGCGGGGCGAACCAGGGAGGTCGAGGGAACGGGAAAGGTGGTGCGCCCCCGAGCCTCGGAGGTAATGGTGCTACGGGCTGCACAGGTACAGAGTATATAGGCAAAGGAGGTGGAACAGGTAGCGGTCCAGGTAAAGGTGGAGGAGGAACCAGAAAGGTTGGCAGGGGAGGAGCAATGGAAGGAGGAGGTTGGATAGGAGGAGGTGGGATGGGGATGCCCTGAGGTGGGATCCAGCCTGGAGGTGGGATAGGGATAGTGCCATTCGGTAGGCGAGGAGGGACAGGAGGCAGAGGTGGAGGGAAGGGAGGGACAGGGAAAGAGGCTTGTGGAGGATGTGAACATCCGACTGAAACTGCAGGAGGAGCTATGGGGAGACTGGGTGGAGTGGGATTAGAAGCTGCAGAGGGAGATTTAGGGAATGAGGATGTGTCTTTTGCTGGTGGCAGAGATCCAGATTGGAATGTATGTGGAAGATGTACATCTTTATCTACAGCACAATGTTCCTGAGGAACAAACAAACAAAAGCAACATATAACATAAATATTACAAATGCAAATAAAATAGCTATTTTAGTATCTACACGATATGGTGCCTTGAAAAAGCTTTAATCAGTCTTGAACTTTGTCTTGTGGTAGATCAACATGAAATTACATGTTTGTAAAGCAGAGCAAGAAGAATTTATGGTTAAATTTTTTCAAATGAAAATCTAAGGGGTGTACATTTGTGTTCACCCCTCTCTACTCGCATACCCCTAAAAAAATCTAATGTAAAAGATTCCCTTTAGAAGAAGCTGCATGTAATTTGATCTCAGGATATCCCAAGCTTTGGAGATCTCTTCAATCAGTCATTCAAAAGTGAAAATGATAACAGTATGGCACATGGTAACTGGTCAGAACTGGTCAGAATTGATGGAAACATGGAGAGAGGTAAATATAAAACAATCCAGGAGGAAAAAAAAAACACAAATACAGCCAGGGCTCCAACAGCGTGGCTTCCAGTCCCTTACAGCTGGCTAATGTCTCCAGACCTAAATTCAATTTTGCAGCAAAGCTTGATGTGACTGATCTTTAGTTGTTGTTTTTTTTTTGTTTTTGCAAAGACAAATAGACTATAAAGTACGTTTTCAGGGGGAACCTAAAACGAGTATAAAAAAACCTTTAGCAAGGCGCCGTATCTGAAATGCTCATGCAGAAAAATAGAAAAAAATACCTCTGAGGATGAAATCCATGGAGATGTTTCAGTGTCTACATGAACTCTGCTTTCCGAAGGTTTAGCCTCAGAGGGAGTGGGAGACTGGGAGTTTGCTTCCAGAAACAAAACAGCTCGATTGGTTTCATCCTCTTCGTTTTCAACGAGCGTCAATGGACTGATATTCCCCGCATCGTGGCAGCGGCGACGGCGGCTGCTGGTAGAGGAGTCATTAGGCGACAGAGAGCAAAAAAGCAAATCCTCCAAGAAAGCACACTTAGGAGAGCAACGACTGGATGCAGGGCTGTCGGGAGAGGGTTCATCAGTCTTTGAAGTTTTCCTATCCAAAAATAAAGCATCGGAAATCTGACTGTTTATCAGCAAACTTTCAATGCGGGAGTCCAAACTCTCCACCGCGGGCTGCTGCTTTCTGTGTGGGAAGTTTACTGCAGTTTGACTGTCAGCTGTGAAATGGATGCTCCGGATGCTAACTGCATTGTGTGAGGAAATCACAGAAGAAGAAGAAGAAGAAGAAGAAGAAGAAGAAGAAGAAGAAGAAGAAGAAGAAGAAGAAGAAGAAGAAGAAGAGCTACCCGTGTGTTCTGACTGCTGAAGACCGGAGGCAGGACTGCAGGGGGGCTCCTTGTAGGCAGAGCACTTCGCTTCGTCACGCCACACTACGGGCTGCTTCTGATTCGAGGGCGGGTTCAGAGGCTGCAGTTGGCTACTCTTAAACAGAAGGCTGACATTTGAAGGCGGGCGAGATCCCCTATGATGCCTCGCGGGTCTGAAACGGCAAAGAGCTTGTCTTAAATGTTTATGAAGACTATGGTTGGAGGGCTCTCCCTGGAGGACCGGAGTCGCCTGAAGGCTGGAGTAGCAGGAGTCCTGGGAGAGAGGAGTCGCAGACAGGCAGGGAGTGCGGGGGGTTCCCTGAGATTGTGGCGTTAGGCCCAGGCTGCAAGGAGTGTCCCCCCAAATGCTGGAGTAGGCTGTGTCCAGGGAGAGGGGTGTGGCAATGCTGGCAGGGCTGGAGGCGTTTCCTGACTGCTGAGCGGCTGTGCTGGTCTACAACAGGAGGGACAGATGAGGGAAAGCAACACGAAGCCAAAATGTTATTTAGCCTCTGGAAGGGCTGGGCGAAATGGCTTCAAAATGAAATCTCTGATATTTTCATACCGGATCCGACTTTCAATTTTCACTTTGATCCCAAAATTAAATTAAATGTCATATTAATTGAAATCCTTCAAAGAGTCTAAGACCATTATGAATGAAACTGAACACCTGTATCGGAACACAAATGTACAAAAGACAATAAATTGGCGATAAATTTGCACTTACCCAGGAAGGACGTAAAACAGCTAGCTAGCTATCAAGGGTATATTAGCAGCTAGCTCCTAGTAGCTACAACTGCCTCGAGTCACAGAAGGCAATGAAGATGTGTGCGTGAGCTACTCAAAGTTTAGCCTGGACACACGGACGTCACTCTGAACTTTGGTAAGCCAAGGAGTGCAATGGTGAAAAAAAAATCCAGACTTTCAACCCCCAAAATTTGATTAATCGATAAAATGGATTTATCGCCCAGCCCTACCGTGTGGCGTCAGCGTCCAAAGCATCACAAGCAGCTTTATTGTTTACCAGCAGGGCGTCGACTAAGCTCTGCAGGGCGCGCTCACTGCTTCCCACAGGCAGCGTCCAGGGAGTATATGGGCCGTTAAACAGCAGCTGGAGATATCTCGTCCTTTTCTCACCTGAGGAAATTTTTGATTAGTCGGTTAATCAAAGACAATTACATCTACCTAAATGTAAGAGGAGGGGGGGGACATCTTTACCTTTAGAGTCGATTTCCACATGTATGATGTTTCCCATCACAGATGTCTGATGAAGGAGCCGCACGGCGTTCTTTGCAGCTCTCACCGTGTCAAAGACGACCTTCGCAACGCCCAGATGCTTCTTGTTCTTCGGATGGTAAAATATTTCCACTTCTTCAACTTTACCATATTTCTGGCACATATTTGTGAGGAATGTTTCCCTCACATTATCATTTAACCTGCAAAATGTCACTTCCTTGGGAGGTACAGGCCCAACGTACCACTCATCAATCTGGAAAGACATGCATAAACATTTTTTTTTTTTCCAAGTCCCTTTACAGGCACGTCTAAAAAGATAATTAACTAAAGTCAATTTACTCCAAATAAGAAATTCAATTTAAAATTTTAACTTATCATATATGGACTCAGGGTTGTCTCTATTATTTTAATGATCATAGCCTAGTTAAATAAAAAACTTTTTTTTTCAGGAAAAAAAACGAGTTTCTCTGAAAGCTTTTATTCCAGCTGAAGTTTTTACCTTCAGAATGTTAATTTCATAATTATCTCAATGCAGCAGTTACCTTCACCTACTGTACACCTTTTTTTTCACTGTACTTTTTGTCTTCCATTGCACTTTTTTTCTCAAGATGCTTGTTTTTTTAATGTTCAAAACCCATGGACACTATGCACATAAAAAAAAAGTAATCTGACTCGGTTGCACGTCCCTTGGATCATTAGTCCGATGTTGCTATTTCTAATAACTGCACAGTATTTTCTGTTTTAGGCTTATTTTATTATACATTATTTTAACAGTTTTGGAACTTTTTGTGTGAACCGATATACCTAATGCTGCTGTTACACCTGAATTTCCCTTTTGCAGGACAATAAAGAGTCTTTCTATTCTATTCTTCTGCAGCACTCTGAACAGCCAGATGACCTTTTGTTGCTTCCCCTCTGAGTGGACGGTGTCATTGACTGGATTTCTGTGTTTTTATCAATGTTCAATTGAAATAGAATATCTATATTTGGATCTTTGACTAGCTGTAAACCTCAAAATGAACTGAAATAAGTGATAATATTTTTTATTTTAATGCTATGTAACTGTATGTGTGGCTACATACGAAAAGTACCTTATATTTAGGAACCAATAGATCAGTCTTGTTGTATTTACTCCACAGGCGGCAGACTCTGGGATCTCTGACGGTGTCCACAGGAAACAGACCTAAATCCTCAACCTGACAACGAAAAATACTAAGTATTATCGTGGAATATAAAACGAACTAATTTGGATGTTTAGGCAAAAGATGGACGCAATAATTGGAGTTTAATACTTACGGGTATGTTAAAATATTGTCCATCAAAGCGACACACTTTGTATAGTCCTTTAGTTAAGGCAGGGTCAATGATCAATTTGCAACTTTTCCACTGCTGAGGAGGTGTATCTGACTCTGTAAATTGGTTTTCGCTTTCCATTACATTAGTAAAACCTGTAAGAACGTCAAAAATAAAGGCCATATGGCGTCATTTTGCACCACGGTCAATGCTGCTGTAAGCTAGCAGAAATGAGTCCTCCAGCAGAGGTTAACACACCCCAACAGGTGATGGAGAGCATCACCTGTGTCCATATCTGAAAGATAACAGGCTGTGAAACGAAACATACTCAAATGCCCAAAGTTAGTCCAAGCGAAACACTTCTTATCTCGCTTACCTGTACCGAAGTTTTGTCTTTTGAACAGGCAACATTATTGCAAAGCTGTTAGGATTTTTTTTCGATGTTTTTTTACACGTCGTCGCGCTGGTAAGATAATGGATTCATCCGCCAGGAGGCAGAAACAGAGAATGTAATGTAGATCCTTGGGCTGGGCGGAAGAACACCAAAAGAGTGGAGTTACATGGAAAGTGCAGCTAGGGAAATATCACTTCAAAATCAAACTCAGCTTCTTATTGAATAAAATATGCTTAAGGAACTTTATACAAAAATCAAAATATAAATTGAGCAATTTTATAGAAAATTGCTTGTTTTATTTCTGTATAATAATTAAGCTGTAATACATTCATGACAAGTATTGGAGTCATAAAACATGTCGTGTGTGTAATAGACTGCAAGAAGAAACTGTATTTATAGTCTGTATCAAGTTTCTTTCACTGTCCATATACTTCACTTTTATTATTTTGTTTTTAAATATTATCTATATCCAACAGCACATGCTGAGTCCAAAATTCACTTCAACCAAAGAAATTCTCATAAGGGCAACTCAGAGACAACATCAATTTTATTATCCACCTTCAGCAGTGATAAATCTTAGTATATGTCAAGCAACTTTGAGATCTGGTAAAACATTTTTAACCCAAACACTACTTGTTTAATAATTTAATTCAAATTTATAACACAACTCTGTTGTGTTAAGCCAAGCCAGACTTGGATCAGTCCATATTTTACAAATGTTTTTAAAAGAACCTGATTTAGTTTAACTCCACCCCATATTGCTTTGCGTCTAAAAATGTTGATGCATCCAGTTGTGGTGGGCGTGCTAACCGTGTGTCTTCAGCGAGGGGAATGTCATTGTTGCTGCAAACAGGAAGGCATCTGCTCGAGAAACTCTGTTCCCTGATGATGGACTTTCGGTTAATGAAAAACAGTCTTGAAAATTTGAGCAGAGAAAGTCTTAGCAAAAAAACAAACAAAAAATAAATCTTTTTCTTTGGTGTACTAAAGAAAAATGGTTTGTGGGTCTTTGTTGTGACAGGTGCTCATGGCTGAGAGCCTTGACCTAATTTAAACCACGATGTCCACACGTTTCCTGTGTGATCGATTCTGCCGTGACCCAACTTTAGCTGTTCTCTACAGCATTGCATTGTTTTCCTCTGCATTTGTAGACATGCAAGTGAGAATGTCAGGGATGTATAAATAAATATATTTTATTCCCAAACTGATCCAAAGGTAACATGAATAGAAACACACGGAAGCGAAACTGGAAACAGAGCATTTAATGAACCATACCTTCTAGCCGTGCTTTCAAAACACACAGTAGCACACACTCGATTTAATAAATAAGCACAGAAATGAACAACAGTAAAAGAAAAGTGTCATGGAAGATAGCTTTCTGATTAATTTTGTGAGTAATTTGGTAAGACAGACATTTGGTAAGGCACCGATGTATTCCTGTGAGCTTTTTGGTGTTTGACTAAACGACAAAAGTGAAAATTAAATCTGATCAGGACCATTTAAACACTGAAAACAACAAGCAGGACGATTACAAAGCTCTGTACAACCAATGAGCAGGTTGTCAGCAAAACATACGCAAGTCACCCTATAAAACAACATGACCTTTATATCAATAGAAAAGTGCAACAATATTCCAACAAAGAGTGGCATCACCATTAGAAATCAAAGTGCAACAAACAAACTTTGTAAAGACAGTGTCTCGTGCAGCTTTGCTACGGAGAGACGACGACAGCCTGAGCCACGTCGAAGCGTTAGTTGATGTGGACACACAAAAAAAAAAAACACACACGCAAGCCACATTGTGCAACATAAACAATCTGTAACCGTGCTTCAGCTTGTAAACTACTGCACAAAATGTACAAAACACACAAATTTGCAAACAACACTTTAAACAATTTGATGCTGCACAAAAGTTGTTCAAGAACACTTTCCCCAAAGCCAGTCACGTCGTCTTGATTTACAGTGTATTTGATTAAAACAAATAAACAAAAAGGACAGCATGAAAATGAGAACACGGAGGGAAAAAAAGGTGTCCTTACTTAACAGTTTAGTTGTTGTGATATTTAACTTATTTAAAGTTTGTTGTCAAAAATGCAGTCAGTCAATTTGTCCTTGACCACTGCAGAATTGATTGGCAGGTCAAAGGTTACCTACTTTCATGGACTAATCACTATGGTCCAAAAAAGGCGTCTTTATGTCACGATGCCCTGAAATGCAAATACAGCATTTCTACATAATTTTGTATATACTTTCTTTCCTCAAATACTGCTGAATGTCTTTCCCCAAAAATGATCTTTGGTAATTTCAGGAAACTGTACCATGAAAAAAGCTAAATGTAAATCCCAGAGATGAATTCTGAAAACGCTTCTTTTGTTTGGTAATAAAACATTCAGAGATTCAGTCGTATTGAAAATAATAATAATAATAAAAATGCAATGCAATCATTTCACTTATTAACCAACAAGAAAACAAGGTGGGAAAAACTTTGCGCTACAGCTGAATGCTGCACCATTGACATGCAGCATCCTGCAGCATGTCTGAGAAGAAAACAGCACTTTGGCAGAGGTATACGTTAGATAGTGAAGATTCCAGACAGCCTGAGATACTGAATTTGAGAAAAATATTGATTCACCTTATCCCAGTTTTTCTTAGAACATATGGCATTTTTAAACATATTTCAAATAAAGCATGTTGTGCACAATTACTCACACTTTGCCCTGTTGACCTTTCCCTCATCAACAAGTAGACACACATAGTGACACATCCAATTGCTTACAGATAAACAAATGGCTGCTAGAATAAAATACAGATCTTTATATGAAAGCAAATAAAATGTGTAAACCCACCCCATAATCTCGGTGCTTTCGAAATTTCACCTCACAAATCACCCATTTTTATCTTGTATGGATGTCGGCAACCAAAAATGATTAAATTCCCTGCATATAAAAGTAAACCAAATTTTGTAAACATGCAATACATAGCGTGAAATGCATGCTGTGACTCATCAGAACAAATGCCAACATTTTTTTTTTTTTTTTTTAAAAAAGCCTTTTTATAAGAGAAGTCTACATGAACTCGGATGGGTTACAGTTACGGGAAATGTCCGGCTGCCTTCAGCTCGTCGTTCTCGGCCCCGTGATTCAGCTGTTTCTGGAGCTGAATGACCTGGTCCAGCTCTCGGATCTGCCGGTCCGTTTTGTGGCTGACTAGAGTGCGGTAGAAGTGGACAGCGAAGATGATGAAGACGAGTCCGAACGGCACCATTATGCAGGTGGACGCGATGGCCGCCGCCTCGCCGGAACTGATGGTGGTGTTGATTTCCTTTTTGAGTGGCAGGAACTTCACCCAGCACAGGAGCATGACCTCAGTCAGGAACAGGAGGGTGCCGATGACCGTGGAGAAGGCCCAGGCCAGCTCTATGTGGCGGTGCATGCGCTCGTGGGGGGACTCGTTGACGGAGTTGAGGTTGTGAACGTTGCTGACGGCCTCCAGGTTCGGGAGGATGCAGGTGCTGATCATGAGGGCGAACAAGTGCACGGCGACCAGAACCGTGGTGCAGGCGCTGAAGGCGATCAGCAGTCCGGGAGGATACGTGTGAGTGGGCTCCAGCTGCACCTCCACCATGGCAACCTGGGAGAAAACATCAAGACATGTTTAAGCAACAACAACAACAGCAGCCAGTAAAGATTTTCCTTTTATTTAGAGCTGCCACGTTGAAGTTGGGAGATAATTATTCTGTTGACATGAGAGAAACAATTGAATTCACTTTATAACTGTGGATATCCGATGTTAAACTTTGATTCGTATAAATGGAATCAGTTTCACGGTCTGTACTGTCAACTCAGTTCTAACGATGGACACGTTATTTTTCCTCCCACGAGAGTCCCTTTCTTTGCTTTAGCCATGCATCAACATTTTTTTTATTTCCTCAAATAAATGCATTAACAATGAATCTGTTCATTGTTGATCACAATAAGTTCATACCTCTATTCATTATCCATAACCCGCTATCCTTGCAGGCTGCCAAAGATTTAAAACTGGGAAAGGTCACCAAACTCAAGTGTTCACCCCGGATGGCTGAATCGTACTTTGGGATCTTTACTTGTAAAAAAAATAATGAAATAAAATGTTTTTCATTATCCTTCGTAAGTACATGTTACTTTGTGTCAATCTATCACGACAAATCAGATAGAACACAGTGTTTGTGGGTGAAATGAAACCAAACATGGAAAAAAAAAATTCACTTTGCATCTCTCACATCTGCACTAAAAATACTGTTCTGTATCTATTAAAAGTTTTTGTACTTCAGGATGTAACAAGGTCTCAGTAAATAGACAGGATGTGTTACATTCCCTTCATTACACTTCAGTTCAGCAAACACCTTTTTTTCAAAGCGTTTTCTGTCCACCTCGGCTACATTCGGCACGCTGGCAACGAAGCCAGCAAATATTTACGGCACCTTGAAAAAAGTATTTAACTGGGACTTTTATTAAATATGATTTTTTAAAAACAAAAGTCTGAAAAGTGTCAGTGCTTATGCAAGTCTCTTGCGTACATCGCTACTGTTTGGGGTGATCTGAAATGTGTTGTTTTTTTTTACCCTGTAGTACTCTGTACCCAAGTCAAAAAGTTCAGTGTTTGTATCATCTGACCAGAGGATCGTCTTCCACATGCTTGCTGTATTTCCTAAATGGCTTTACTGAAAGTTTTATTTTATAAATATGGTATTCATATTGTCAGTGTAAAGGCAAAACTTGTGAACTGCATGGCTGACATTCCTCCTGTCCTGATGCAGACACCAGGACGAGGTGTGCGGTGAGAGAAACAATAAACCAATTGTTTCTGCTTTTTGTGTGCGTGTGGGCCTGATCTGTGTTCTCCAGTCCCCGGCTAATCACAGGAGATGAACACTCACCAAAGGGAAGGTTCTGCTGGAAGTTACTTCCTGTTAAATTGAAGTTTTCCTTTGAACCACCGCCGTGGGAGTGACTGGTGCAAAGTCAATCTTCTGAGCTTCCTTAGACAGAAAACTATTCAGCAGACGACATAATGAGCTCAATTTAACTGTGTTTTACTTTCTGATTGAAATGATCTATGTGACTGGACTGATTTACGTAATTCTGCACACACATTAGTTCTCTTTTTTCCTGTACAGTAACTTGAGATTACCTCTGTTGTGAATTTTTGTCATATAAAACTGAACTGAACTCTCCACCCGAGCTGTGAATGTCCGCAACTCCTCCAAGAGTTACCACAAGCATTCTAGCTGCTTCTCTAATCAATGATGTCTTCGACCAGCCTGTCAGTTCAAATGGGCGACCTTGTCTTATAACTTTTTCTTCTGAGATATACAGTTTCACTTTTAAATCAATTGAGCACTAATTGCTCCACAGAAAGTTCAAATTTGCGACATTATTAAGCACTTCTGCCTTAAACTGATCCAGAACTTTGACCAGTCTGCTGTGTTCTTTGATTCATGATAGCTGTTTTTTTCTCTAACTAACCTATGATACCTTCACAGAGCAGCTGAATCTATACTGGAAAAATAACAAGTGAATGCAGGCACCACAGGATTTTATTTAGGAGTGTCAGTAAAGGGAGCTCAATATGAATACATATCCACATAATCATTTTCATTATTTTTATTTTTAAATCGCACTTATACTTATGCATGACTTCATGTGGGAGTATAGAACTAAAAACCAATCAATTACACGAATTGTTGAGGTTGCAGACAGAGGAGCGAATACTTTAGGCGCTCGCCTGTTGGCCATTATAAAGGAGGGATCGTCGCTGAAAACAATCATCTGCGTCACACGCAAACTCTCCGGGTGTTGGTGCCCACGGCCTGTGAAGCTGCGTGTTATATCTGTGAAAACTCAAACCTCACTTACTCACCATTGCGAAACCCGACAGCAGAGCCGAAGTGCGGCTGGTGGCTTTGAGCTTAGCTCGGCTCAAGTACAACTTTCTCCAGGACAGCGCCTGCATGGAGTGTTCGTTCAGGCTCATTCTGACAGCTGTTCCAGGAGAGACCGAAAAGTTTTCCTGACGACGCGGAAATATGTTCCGACACAACACGCTTGGAGTCGACGTAGGAGCTTCAGCCCCGGTCGGATGCTAAAAATAAGACTTCTATAGGGCAGCTCTGAAAATCTGTCAAAAACTTCTCCGCCACAGCTGACTGTTGAAATCTATGAGGAGGAAACTCAAGATACCCACAATTCAATGCTGCTCGCAGCGGCTGCAACTGTCAGGTCTGCCCCCTCCGCTCCGCTTCCCCTTCCCTCTGAAAAATAAATAGTTTGGCATCATTACTCTCTTTGACCCCCTTTCTTTTCCGTTTTCGTCCATTCTTTTGTTGATTTAAAATCATCTTCTGTATGTGCAGTAGTCTTTATGGTGCACGCAACTTGATCACTTTGAGATTTAGCTGAAGTAAACCTCTGCATTATTGCTATACGGTAAATAAAAACAAACTGTCTTTTTCACAGAGAGAACTCTGTGTCAACGAGAGGCCGGTTCAACTCTAAAAGTGTGTAACTGAGTAAATATAAATGTTACTGTGCACTTATACGCTCCGCTTTAGTAATTAAACCCATTCAGTTGCAGGCAATGGCATGACAGCAACTCAATGCATGTAGATATTTTACTTTCTGCCTTCAAATGGAGCATTTTAATGGAGAAGAAAGATGATTTAGGACCCTTATGTGGGATCATTGTTGGTGACTGAGGCACGCTTGTCTGAGTATTTTGGAAACTGCTGATCTCATAGGAATTTCAGATATAGCCATTTATTTGACTTATGGCCTGAAATATCCAAACTTATCGTACATTTCCTGAACACTTACAAAAATTAGAAATTAGACAATTTTTTGGTCTGATGACCAGTTTCAGTTTCAGCTAACTACATTCAAATGGAAGGGGTCAAAAATATAAGCACCAAGAAAGCATAGATCCACCCTAATGTCTGTCTTCTATCATTGGCTTAGGCAGCTGCTGATGGTGGTGGTAAAATGCTACAATAGATTTATTCTTGGCACACTCTGGACCCTTTGCAACAATTTGAGCATTGTTTAAACTCCGCAACCTGAGTATTGCCACTGGCTGTGTCCATCTCTATATGACCACAGTGTAAGTCATCTTCTGATGGCTTGTTCCATCCGGTTTAACACACCGTGTCAGAAAGCTCAAAAGGTCTCAAACTGATTTGTTGACAGTAACAAAGACTGAGAAGACTGTACTGTAAGTTCAATAAACCACCTTTGCATGTGGTGGAGAAGGAGATAAACCAATCATAGTTGCACAGCTTACAAATCTACAGGAAATGTGTGATGCTGTCATGTCAAACTGACCTATTTATGATTTGCATTATTAATCTATGACGTCAAACATGTTTTAGAATGCTACCTTTTACCCTGCACAAATGATTTTTACTTTATGTTGGTACAATGGTAAGAACAGATGTATTAATCTTGAATGCACATCTAATTCTGTGCAGTATTTGCACTTAGATGCCTTAATTGTGCATCTAAGTGCATGAACAGTTGTGCTCATCAACGATTATTTATGAAGATGGAGAAGCAGAAACAATACCAGAGACACTAGATGGTGCCAAAGAAATGCATTTCACCAACATTTCACTGAACTGCACTATTGTCAGTCACCATTGTACTTATGTAAGATAGATAAATGCTGAGAGAGCCACTGTTACCTAGGTGTACTGGTGCTGAATGCAAATGAAACATTATTGTAAACCATTATTGTTGATTGCATTTATGTTTGAACTACTGTTTAAATATGTATATGTTACTTGTTTTACCCACAAAATCAAATAAAATCTATTTATTTTCCATTACATTCAATATATACAAAAAACTGAATTTCTCTGACATATATAAATGTTACTGTGACTAATTTGTTAAATACTTAGATAGTTTAAGAGATAAAAAATAATGGCTTGATTTAAGAAAAGAATATAATTAAATATAGATCGGAGCAATGTTTACGAATGATGTTTAAATATTCAGTTTGCAGAGGAAGACATGTCTAGTTACAAGTCTTCCTCTAAAATGGTAAAGGTTAACATATTAAGTAAATAAAATAAACAAAGACGGAAATTTATTAGAGAGAGTCATCTTGTGTCTGACATCTTCACTTCCTGCTAAAACCATGGTGCATTCACTTTACGCAGTGTTTGTCGTTCCTAACTATAAATATTGTAAATTTCTTTACATAAACCTAAATGTACAATTTGTGATGTGTTAGCTTTCATTTTGTCTTTTTCCATCCTTCATTTTTTTAATTTTTAAATTTTTGGCTGGACTTTGTGTTTAAAGGGATAGGACGAGATTTTTTAAAAAAAAAATACAATTCTTTTAAAAGGTTGGCAGAAGAAGTAACCTTAATCTGGCTTTATATTAAAAGAAAGGCTCCCCTACAAAAATACTTGCCAAAACAGTTGCTTTAGTAAATGTTTTCAGTGTTTTTTCAAATCACAATTTTTCTAGTCACTACATTTTTATTTTTATTACCAAGGTAAATTGGGCTATTCAAATATATCCATCACCTTGTTTTCCCTCCCACTTTTTTCCCATAAAAATGTATTATCATTATAATATTATTGTTCAATATTGCAGTTATTATGCTGATTGTGATTAACCCATTCTTTGTTACCTTTTCCATCATCAAAATGATCCCACCACTTCATTGAAGCTTTAGCGTACGCTTAGGTATATATCAAATGTGATCATGAAAGATGTGCATGTAACGTTGAATATATAAAGAGGTAAACGAACTGGAACCACTGTATTTATCAACAAAAGCATAGCACAAAAAAAAGAGTCCTATTGATAAACCATTATGGAATTATGAATCCCAGGTTCACTTGTTCGGTGTATATCCTGTCATAAAAGTCAAGAATAATGTGATCTGTTGTACTTTACTGCAATTATTATTATATTGTAGGTAATATTTTACCTTTTTATAGTCTCTTACAATGATCTTGCTTAAAAAAATTCAGTTATCTCTTTAAGTGAGCAGGAAGCTGATATTTCCTGTGGCGCCTGAAGGCAGCGCGGTGAACATAGCTGGCAGCTGCTGGGCCGTGTTGCTGTGTGGGAGGGGGGACGATCTGAGCTGTGAGCTCGTTCAGCCATGTTAGTTTCCTTCTGCTGTTCACAAACGATGAGAGAGGAGAGTCATGGCCTTGTCAATGAGCGGAGACGATGAAGAATATGAGTCAGAGTCCGAGCAGGTACTTACCGCTACTCTTCATTATATTGACTATTTTAGTCCGTGGGAAGTTTAACGAAATGTGAGGAAGAAAGGCGGTTTGGGTTTTTTTGTGTGTGGTTGCTTAAGGTTAACGATAAACCCGCTCTTCTGTGTTTGTGTGAGTCAGATTCAGTCAAAGATATTAGAAAAAGGTGTTTATAAATATCCCTCACCTGTAATAATGGACACTTAGCTAAGTATTACATACACATATAAAGATGTTTATTAGCTGTTGTACGCTAGCTGTCCGGGACACAACATACACTCTGCTCCTTTGATGTTAGCTACAACTGACCCATTTTGAGCTGGCCATTAATACGGCGCAGCTTCGGTCCGGTCATGATTTCGATAATTTCCTGTTACCAGAAGCCTCCACCAAGCCACCAGCTCGGCTTCAGCGTGTTTAAATCTAAACCCGGAGTGAAGCTCTTCTTGCTCCCCGAACACCGACCTGCCACGTTGAAAATGCTTTCTTTCTTTTGATTCATTTCCTCACTCTTCCAAAACTTGTCCTGCCACTCTGCGCCTTTAAGACGGCTTTGGGCGAAATGTTGTTGAGGCAGGGACCGGGGAGGGGGATGGGGAGAGGGAACAATGAAGTGGCTTTACTTCTGGTGCTTGCTGGACCTCTGCTTCTCAAACTGGGGGTGCCCATATCCCACCACCCTGAATAAAAAGCAAACAAATACTGTCCGGTTGCGCAGATCTTCACATTTTACTCGTTTTGTTGGCAAATTAAAGACGGAGTGCTTGGTAGAGTTCATGAGGAACGCTCAAAAGTGCTGATGCAAGATCCACATCAATGTGCTTGCACAATATTTGTACCCACAACACGGTTCCATTATCAGTACAACATCAAAGATGATGTTTTCACTTCTTTCCACCGTGACACGTGGTTGTCGACAGCAGCACTTGTTGTTATGAGGACCTCAGCAGATGATGAGCCTTGTGACTTTCTCCTACAAAATCCGAACTGAGGCTGAGTCAGACGACTGTGCTTGGCATAGTAAGCTGTCTCTTTTTTTTTTTTTTTTTTCTCTCACCGGCCCCTTCTGCCAATCCCAAATTCCTGTCATATTACTGCAGAGTAACAGTCAGCACGAATCAGCTGATGCAGTTATGGCTCTAGGGGCCATCTTCAGCAAATGTGTTCAGGGTTTTTGTTTGTCACAACTTTCACGGCGGTACATTTTCGTTTTATTTAAAGGGAAGCATCGACCTGGATGCTATTCAAGAACATAATCCTTTTTTTTTTTCTTTGTCACATTTGTTTCCATTTATCCTTCCGAAAAGTGGGATTACAAGAAAACTGCAAACTTGCAATTTCGGTATTAATTGGTATTAACTTTGCTTTCCTCACTCTTCAGTTTCTGTTTTGTCTCTCTAATGAAGCTTTAGCACCTCGATCACTTGGATCGATTTAAAGTGTGGACAGGAAACGTGTAAAGAGTCCGTCCAAGCCAGCCAGATGTTACTTATATTAGGCGTTTCATCCTATCAGTCTCTTTTAATGGCAGAATTGCACAAATTACTCTCAGAATCCAGTTTATTGTCTTGATCTGCACAAGCAGGAATTTGACTTTAAATTCACAGATATTTAAATATTAGACTATTATAGACTTCAGAGGAGATAAAATAATGCACAAAGGAAAAAAAAAAGTCACATTATTCATCTCTTGTGAAAACTACAACCTCTTGTTTCGCTGCTTATGGCCACTTCCTCATCATCGAAAACTAACTTTATCGTGGTGGTCCATATTTATATTTTATTTTTCCTTCTCAAAGATGTGACGGCTAAAAACGGGCATTTTACTCTTTCATACTCCATCTCTCTGTACCGTGTAGAAGTGGGACTTTGCCCCTTCGGTCATTTATAAGCAGTTTGCTCTCACGCCCGCTTTCACTACTGATTTTTACTATCTACTGCTTGCCTAACGTTTGATGCATGACTTGCATACTTTGAGGTATTTTGGTTTGATCAGAGGTCAAAGTAAGCATAATGATTTGAAATACTCTGGAGTGAAACGACACTCCTCGTATGAAAGTGGTAAACATTTGTCATCGCAGAGGTCAGGTGAGGGATGAGGCGACTTCGGCTCAAACAGTTGTGATGTTGACAGTCACGGCCATCCCTGGAGCAGCTGCTCATCCTTCACTGGTTCCCTCCCACATTTTTGTATGGTTATTATTATTATTTTTGATTTTTACAGGAGCTGGATGCGTCTGCTGGAGTGCGTTTTGTCGAAATAATTTGTTAGCAGCCGTTGGGGCGAGCTATCGGGGCAGCGGGGAGGGAAAACAATCTGGAAAGTGTAAAATTTGGGGGGGAAAAATGTGATTGCAGACTTAGTTCCTTCTTTATAGGCTAAACTTTATATCTGTGCATTCCTCCAAACCTCTGTCTCTCTTGTCCTTCTGTCTTTCCTTTTTTTCCCACTAATTCCTTTAGAAATGTCTCCCATAAGCTCATGGTGAACTTTTGTGTTTGACTCCGTATTGTGTTCTCTTCAAAATGGCACAAAGCACTAGAAAACAGTCTAGGAAAAGTCTGGAATTCAGTCTTGTGGGGGTGAAGAATGTGAAGAAACCCTGTAATCTGTTATCTGAAGGATTAGGGAGAGGAGATTAGTCATGTAATGATTTACTTTGGATGTTTTCAGTTGGAGTCATCAGGACAAGTTTCACCTTTCCTCTTCAGTAAAACTTTAGTCATTGTTGTCGTTAACCCAGATTGTCCCGTTGGCCTCCCGACGCACGTTACCTGTTTTACCTGTCCCCTGGATGCAAGCAGAAACAAAATCTGCCTCCAGTTGTTTGCCAACGTGTAACAGTTTAAGGAGCTAGCAGCAGTAGTAAGTCAGCAGTGTGGGGGCTGTGCACCTGTTAAAAGTAATGCTATAAGAATAAATCAGAAAGATGTTCACAACCTCAAAGGAAATCATAACCACCTCCAGCGAGTTTATTTTTATCCATCTGTCACGCTCCCCTATTTAAACATTTGCCACCAGCAAGGCGAACTGTTGCCAAGGTAACGTCTCCTGTGAAGATGAAAGGAGCTGAGATGCCTTCTTCTTTTTGTTGTATTTCATAGTAACGCCATGGAAACGAGGAAGATATTTTTCTTTTAAAGAGGTTGATATTGAAGATAATTTAATGAACATTGCTGCAGCTTTTCTACTATAAAAATGTGGATGTTAGTTTTACTGATTTGTTTGCCTTCCTCCTACTGTTCTACTTTACATGTTTAAATTCAATTGGACCAGATGAGGCTTCATTTGTGTGGCCTACTTGTGTTGTGTAGAGGAATGCATGATGGGGATATCAGAATTTTTCAACTGAGTGACGAAGTATTAAATTATTGTTAATTAATCCCGATAGTGTTCATGCAGCGCAGCCCTGAATATCAAATATTTAGGTTAAACTTCCTTCTGACGTGCTTTTCCACTTTTCCTTGCAGATTAAAAAAAAAACAACAACTTTCCCCCTAAGGCGAGTATATTGTTTCTGCAGGATCTTAACCTGCAGTTAGTTGATGCTTAAACCCGTACATGCATTCGCTGCGTTTAGGTCGTGGTGTCAGTAGAGGTCATCTGTTTATATTTGCTGTAGTTTTTGCAGAGGAATTTGGATATTTTGCGCTACAACAAAACTCCAAATCTCAGGCTTACAAAGAACTGTACCCTGGAAGCTGCGAGTTGCAAATAAAACATTCTTTTTGTAACATTTAAGTTTGAAATTTAAATCCAAGGGATTTTAAAATATATTAAAAAAAAATAACTGACATGTGTTCCTATGTGAAAACTTTATTTAAAAGTGCATCAAAGGACATGCTGCTGTTTGATGTGTTTAAAGACTGAAAACTGTAGGAGTAGTTAGCTTTGATGTGTTCAATGAATAGGCAAAATAAATCAGATTTTTCAGTATTTGACCTGCAGGTTCAGTTCGTACCTTTTTCTGGAAGCTGAAGTGAACAGGAGAACAATCAATCAATCACATGTCTGTTCAGCATCAGCGAGTCAGTAAAGTATGCTGACTTGGCGTTTTACCAAGAGAATTTCTCTAAACCTCTCCATATAAAAACATCAACTCTTGGACCTGCAGATTAATTGGTTTTCGATGAACCGTTTTTGTCTTCCAGCAGCGAGCAGTCAACCGTCCGAAGCCAAAGATGGGGTCGACGTCGGCCGTCAAGCTGCCGTCCAACCGGAGCGCGTCGGGAGCCAGGCGCAGGAGAACGCGCTGCCGGAAGTGCGAGGCGTGTCTCCGCACTGAATGCGGAGAGTGCCACTTCTGCAAGGACATGAAGAAGTTTGGGGGTCCGGGGCGCATGAAGCAGTCCTGCATCATGAGGCAGTGCATCGCGGTGAGTCAGCGAAAGAGCTAGTCATTCCCAAGCTGGTTGAAATACAGTACAAAGCGATTGAGTAGTCGCCATTTGAGCGCCGTTAAATCCTCTCGTTTGTCTCGCTCCCCCCGCAGCCCGTCCTGCCCCACACGGCCGTGTGCGTGGTGTGTAAAGAGGCGGGGAAGGAGGACACGCTGGAGGACGAAGAGGAAAAGTTCAACTTCATGCTAATGGAGTGCTCCATCTGCAACGAGATCGTCCACCCCAACTGCCTCAAGGTACGCAGAGCCTCAGCCGGACCGTTCCCATGGTGACTCATTTTTGTTGGAGCAGCGTCCTGGGAAGGCCACGTCATTACGACATGACTCAGCCCCCTTTACGCTAGAATCTGGAGCTAATTTGATGCGGAAATTGTTTTTTGTTTATGAAACCCACTGCTCTTACTCGTGTGGTTATGAGGTTATAATGGCTGAAGCCTGACTCTATTTCATTTTAGTTTGACTTTTAGCCTTTAAGCTGCAAGGCAAAACTCCAAACCTGTAATTGTTTGGAAGTCGACTGCCAAGAAACCAAAACCCAGCTCGTCGAGTGGGAAACATGTCTCTGCTGGTCCAGACGTGATCAGACCCGCTTTTTAAGGCCGTGCTGCTACTTAAGCTGACAGAACCAGAATGTCAGCAGTGTTTTCATTGTATTAAACAAACACAGTAGCTCTCATAAAAATGCCTTGTTGACTTGCACAGCACAGCTGAAGACGTGTAAGTTCCTCATGGCGTCTAAAAGCCACTTCCTCTTCATGCAGCCAATACATGTAGATGGCGTGGCGATCTGGGCAGACCGCCGCCGCCGCTGCTGCTGCTGCAAGATGATTATTTGCAACAGAAATTACAATTCCTGGTTAGGAGGGGATTGTAAAGGAGCACCCTTTGCAATTATAAAGGCAGCTAAATCAGACTTATGTAGAGTCACAAATGTTGCATAACCTTTAAAAAAAAAAGAAGAAAAAGACAACTTAAAATTGCTGATAAATATCTACTTCAGGAAATTTGTCATTTTTTAAAAAAGCCCCACTTCGTTGTGGTTTGTAGATTTTCAAATAAAGAAAAGTTTAGCAGAAAATAAGATGGATACATTTCTTTCTGTGGGATGAACATCATTTCCGACTTAATGTCAAAATTGAAAACAATATCACTGATAATCTTTTAGTGCCATTCTGTTGTGAAATCAGCTAATTATAACAGTTTTTTATGATTAAAAAAAAACCTATTTGTTGTTAAATTTATATTTAAAACTTCAGTTTATTCTTTATCATTATAAGGCAGAGATATTAGGAGTTGTTTCAGACCACTGTTCTAGGGAGATGAAGCATATTAAATATATGTGGCAAAAAGAACTGCATGTCACCCTATCTTGTTATATCTGCAAGTAGGTGGTGGTGGCAGCATCATGCTGTGGCCAGGAAGCTGGTTAGGACTGATGGACATCTTTTGGCTACGTGTCACTTGTTTTTCCTTTTTATGTTGGAGGATGACAGTACATGACTTTACAGTTTACAAAAATGAGTTCAATATTTTTTTTGTAAAAATAAAAATGAAAGCAATCGGCTTTCTTTTGATTCAGGTTTGCACAGATGATCAACTGACATGTTTTTTTTTTTCTAAATGTTTTTTTTATATTTATAATAAATCAGGTTGAACAGCGCTGACCGGCCTGACGAGCCACACATCGCAACTGTCGCTTTCACTTCCCATAAACTCGCTCCTTGTTGGACTCTGTTAAGGCTTGTTGTGGTTGAAATCCTACTCCCTTTTGTTATTTATTTTTCTTTCTCTCTTCTTCACACTTCTCTCTTCTTCCCCTGTCAGGTGAGCGACGCCTCAGGTGTGGTGAACGACGAGCTGCCTAACTGCTGGGAATGTCCCAAATGCAACCACGCAGGCAAAAGTGGAAAAGTGAGTACAATCATGCACGAGCCGAAGGCTGCACACAGAGTCTTAATCCTGCAAAGTTTTGATAACGCTTTGCAAAGTTACCTTAACGATAAAGAGAAGAGTCGTTTCCTCTTTTAGATAGTTTCAGTGTATCTTTTTTATATATGATAATCTGCTGTCCACTTCCTGTTAATTCTGCCGTTTATGAAAGTCCTTCACATGACTGTATCGGACAGAGGCAGGAAACCCCCGACAACCAGAAGTGTTTCTTCAACCTTAAGCGCGGCTAGTTCAATATCAAACAGGGCTTTCTAGTCACGATAGGCTAAAGGTATAAAGTCGTCTCCACTGCTTTTGTCCCCTTTGGTATTGAAGCAAAAAAGGGGCCCCGGGTTCAAGTACGCCTCCAACCTCCCCGGCTCTTTGCTGAGGGAACAGAAGCCCGCGAAGGAGGAGGGGGACCTTTCCTCTGCGACCAAGAGGAAGCCGGACAGAGACGAGACGCCGAGATACAGGACCGAGGAGGCTCTCCATCGGCAGCCGCCGCTGCTGTCCCCCAGCGGCCTGCCGAGGCCCAGACCCGAGGACAAACTGAGGAAGAAGAGGAAGCTTTTCGATGACGACGATGAAGAGGACCTCAACGTGAGGAAGAAGGTTGGTATAACTGCCAGTGACTTGCAGTCCCCTTGCAAAACTATTCAGATCCATTTAACTTTTACAAGGCGGCGGATTAGAATCGGCATCTTCGCAACTGCGAGTGACTCCTTGAATGCTGTATTTTCTGGGCTCTTTTATTTTAGGAGCCATGAGAGCTTTAAAGGTGGTTTGGGTAATAAAGCAATAAGAAACCCAGAGCTCGGGTGGGGGAAAATGTCAACATGGCAAATATTACATTCCAAATGTGGATTTCATGGAGACTTGGTAGAAGAAAAGTCATAAGTTTTGTTCTTTTTTGTTGTTTTTTTTTCTGCAGTTTGCCACAAACTATGTAGGCGACATAAGCAAACATGTGGAAGAAAGTCGTCTGGTAAGATGAGAACTTTATAGTCCCTCTTGTAAAAATAAAAAAAAATAATTACACATCATAATGTGAGATGCTTCTGTTCATAAGGGACCGGCTGGTGGCAGCCTGGGGGAGGTAAATACAGGTCAGACGTAGTGCAATATCTGTCAGCGGCTGTAAAAACTTAAAACTGGAGTGGATTTTACACAATGAAATGACTCTGTTAAAAAACCTATTCATATTTGAATGGCCCAGTCAAAGTCCAGATCTCAATTCAGTTGATAATCTGTAGCAAAATAAAATTGACATTATGCACTTTACACTGGAACTGGATGACATTTTAAATGTCCCCCACAAAACAAATGAAAACAGAAAAAAAAGGAAATAAAAACCACACACACAACCGATAACATAAAAATTAGTTTATAAAGTCTCTGAACAAAATGATCCTTATGAATTGAATCATCAGAATGGGAATTATCAAGCTCATTTTAATTTATGAGATTCATTCATTCATGCTAAATCTCTCTTCTGCAGGACAAGTCAGACGACTCGTACATTTCTAAACTTCTCCCCCAAATCAAGACGGAAAAGGAGGAGGAAGATGATGATGACGAGGAAGGCGGAAGGGAGCATTCTTTCCGCAGCGGCGTGGACAGGAAAGGCCGCTTCGGAGAGGCTGAAGAGGAAGGGGACTACAGGGACTCCAGAAACGACTCGTTGAATTCTTCCATCAAAACCCCACTTGGAGACAGTGACCACTCTCTCTGCAGCTCTCCGCAGGCCGGCCCCAGCAGCGAGGGCGGCAGCGAGACGCAGGAAAGGGGGCCCCGTCCGAAGGCTCGCCGTAAGCGGCGTCTGCCCAACAGGGAGCTGAGCCGAGAACTGAGCAAAGCACTGAACCAGGAAATCCAGAAGACCGAGGACTGCCTGGCCAACGAGAACAGGCAGCCGCTCAAGGTGGAGCCGGAGACGGAGAACGAGGAGCCAAAGAAGCTGTTCCGCAACGGTAACGAACTCGGCGACCAGAGGTCCCACCTCAAGACCAAAGAGATGAACGGGAACACCTGGGATTTGCGCCACTTTTACCCAAGTCAGATCACTCCCCTGGGCTTCAACCGGAGCACGCCGACTACGCGGCCGGTGCCGCCGCGCTCCCCGCCCAAGTGCGTCCAAATGGAAAGGCACGTAATCCGGCCGCCTCCGATCAGCCCGCCTCCCGACAGACTGCCCCTGAAAGATGGGAAAGCACACATCCTCCAGCGCGAAGTCTGGATGAAGATATTCGGCTATCTGTCGCACCAGGAGTTGTGTGTCTGCATGAGAATCTGCAAGACTTGGAACCGATGGTAAATTCACAAGCTGAACATGAAAATGCTCTTTTATTTGATAGAGGTAGCAAATTTGAATTGGGGAATGAAAGGAGTGCAAGATTAACTACAGGTGATTCCAGAGGCACAATAAGAGAATATTAACACATTTTCCAATATTTTTACATGTGAAATCTATTTAAGATTTAGGCAAAAGTACAAAGTAGGTGAGATAAAATGATTGGTGCCCCCTGTTGATTATTGCGTCACTATATTAAATGCTCAGTAATGACTGTACATGTTCTAGATGTTGATGTATGAATGAGCCTGTGCTGTGCTTGGACCTGATGCGTCACACAGATTTTTATTCCTTTATTCTTCCTGTGACCAGGTGTTGTGACAAGAGACTTTGGACAAACATCGATTTAAACCGCTGCACCTCCATCACGCCGCTCATGCTCAGCGGGATAATCCGCAGACAGCCGGTCTCCTTGGACCTCAGCTGGACGAACATTTCCAAAAAGCAGTTGAGCTGGCTCATTAATAGATTACCAGGTACTTGGATATGAGACGCACACATGGTGTAGAGAATAAAGGTGTCCTTTTTTTCTTTTTTGGATCAGTGACGGAAAATACGGTTGTAACTTCCAGGTCTGCGAGTGTTAAAGCTGTCAGGTTGTTCCTGGGCTGCCGTCTCTGCACTCTGCACGTCCAGCTGCCCCCTGCTACGCACTCTGGATGTCCAGTGGGTGGAGGGACTCAAAGACGCACAGATGAGGGATCTCCTTTCACCGCCCACAGACAACAGACCAGGTACGGTACAAGGAACTCGGATTATTTTCATCTGGATCACCATAAATCATAAGCACATTATGGCGAGTGTGAAGAAGAATTAACATTCTCAGAAATGTACAGAATAGTGTAAATTATATTGATTCTACCTACTAGGAAGGAAATTGTCGGTAATAATTAGCTAAGGTGGTAACATTAGCATGAAGGTTATCAGTCAAGTTTGTTTGAATAGCACTTTTCACACAGCGCAGTTCAAAGTGCTTTGCATCATAAAAACAAAGTTATAAAACACCGCATCACTAGCATGTTGACCTACACCAACATACTCCATTCAGTAAGTGGGGAAACATGCTAAAGCTAAAATGCTAATATTAGCTAAAAATATCATTTGCATATGGGTTATCACTAGTATGTTGACTAACATTAACTTTTATTATGTTAAGTTTAGCTTTTATATCTAAAGTAGCCAACATGTTATTTTCTCCTAAAATGCTAATTTAGCATAAACAGTATCACCATGACCTACACTAATGTACTCAGTTCAGTATGAATGAATCCCTACAATAATATTTTAGCTAATATTAACTAAAATGCTACCAATCGCATATACGGTAATACTAGCATGTTGACTAACATTAACTCACTCCACTCACTTTAAGTTTAGCTTTTGTATAAAAATTAGCTAACATGTAAATTCTTTCTAAAATTACAACATTAGCATAAAGAGTATCATTAGCATGTTGACTTATAGTAACACACGCCACTCAATATGCAAAAACAAATACCAACATTAGCTGTAAAGCTAATGTTAGTTCAAATACTCTTAACTGGATATGGGCTATCACTAGCTGTAAAGCTAATGTTAGCCCTTATGCAGTTAAGAGTATTTGAACTATCACTAGCATGTTGGCTAACATTAACTCACTTTACGTCATAGGAAGTTGTTGGTGTACTTTTACTACGCCTGAATGTATCTTGATGACAATTCTCCTCCTAGCATTAGATGTGAACTAATGCATGCTACACCAACAGGTCAGCTGGATAATCGCTGCAAGCTGCGGAACGTGGAGGACCTGCGGCTGGCAGGGCTGGACATCACCGACACGTCTTTGCGTCTCATCAGTCGACAGATGCCTCTGCTCTCCAGGCTAGACCTGAGTTACTGCAACCACATCAACGACCAGTCTGTGAACCTGCTCACTGCAGCAGGAACTACAACCAGAGACTCACTCACAGAAATCAACCTATCAGGTGAGACCTGCACTAGAATGGTAGCAATAAATACTGATGTGCACGTACAGCCGTTTGGCTCAAGTTTTCAGACTGTATCTGGGAGCTGCTGGATCCCATTCACACCATAACAGAACCGCTCTAAAGTTTGCTTGGATTTGCATCAGACCACCTCAGAAAAGTTTTTCACCTCGACACAAACGAAGCCAAACCAGTTTGTTTTAAATGGACTCGTGTGACGCTAAAATAACACAATGCTTTATCTGATTTTAGAAAAAAAAAAAAGTTTAAATATCAGAAATCTGAAATATGTTAACTTATTTTCTTTTACTTAATACAAAAATTAATCCTAAAATGCGGGACATGTAAGTTTTAGCTACATGTAAGCTACTTTAGCACACACAGTTTTCTCATAGAATACCATTCTGGTGTTATAAGATGGGTAATCAGACTTTCTTCAGGTTCAGCCCTGCTAAAATAACTATATAATCTCCTACTTTAACAGTCGCTCTGACTAACGGTGGCCCACAGCGTAGAGTTCTGTTTTACCTCTTGAAGGAAGTTGGGAAATCCATATAATTTCTCTGTTTTTTGACCTCATGTGATCCGAAAAGAGGGAACCAAAACCTGGGTGACTGAAATGTTGCTTCTCTACAGACATTAGTGTGCAGTTCTAGCTTTTTATTTTTAAGCTAGAACTGTACACATGTTTGTCTGATGGGTTATTTGATTAAAAATAGTTACTAAATGAGCTTCCTCTTCTGACGTGCCTGGAAAATAAAGTGTAGAAAACCTCCATTCCCTACTCTTTCTAAAAGTTGTATATACTGTAGTTGTAAATCAGTCAGTAGTGTTTTTTTGTTGTTGTAGAAATCAATAAGGAGTTCCTGTATTTATAGTTTTAAAATGCAAAATGTGAAAAGAACATGATCCCCCCCTTGATTAACGCAAAACTAATAACCGTTCTCCTTTCCTCCCCACTATATTCCAGTTTGTAACAGAGTCACCGATCATTCATTGAACTATTTCAAGCGCTGCGGCAGCATCTGTCAGATCGACCTTCGCTTCTGTAAGCAGGTGACCAAGACGGCCTGTGAGCACTTCATTGCAGAGATGTCTGTGAGCGTCCCGTTCAGACTGAAAGAGGACAAGTTGCTGCAGAAGATAAGCTAGTTTCCATCGGGACGGGAAAAAAAAAAAAAAAAATCCAATGTTTTAAGACTGTTTTTGCACTTAAACTACACGTCCTGTGATAAGTCTCTGAATCACTGTTGTCATAGAATACAAAGAGAGGGAATTCAGTGGGAGGTGATGTTCATTGGACAGAAAAGGAGGAAAAAGGTTGCATGTATTTTTTATTTTTACTTTTATAAACACGTGGTTGTATTTGAGTTATTTTTTATTGCATTTTTGAACATATTTTTTGTACAAGAAAAATCCTTCAAGTTTTTTTTTTTTTTTTTTTTTTTCTTCCCGTTTCTGGAGCCCAAATATCACTCTGTCATTTTCAACAGAACAACTTGGCTTCCCTTTTTTTTTTTTCCCCCGAACTTGTGTGCCAAAATCTCTTTGACGTTGACGCTTCAGTATACAGATAATGAAAACATGCATGTGCTGTGATTTAATTACCATAGCTACATTAAATAGACACATTTCAGAGAAGAGAAAGTGATAAATTTCATATTTCTGTCACACCCTTGGATGTTTTACAAAAAACTTTTAACTGTGGGGCGTTTTTGTTTAGGGGTTTTCAGCAATATCTCAATATTAATTTATTGATTTATATTTTTATTACAGTTTGTATTTATTTGTTTATTCAGTGACTTGACATAGGTGTCTTACATAGTTGGTTCAAATGATGCGTGTGAATAATTTATCAGGGTGGTTGGCGCTCGTCCCGGCCACCTGGTTTGTGTTTTGGTGCCCAAAAGTCAAATTAAAGCGAATCTAACGATGACTTTAAAGCAGGCAACCTCACACAACTATATGGGCAACTAATTATGACCTCTGCAAGTATTTGCATACATTTAAAAATATACTTCATACAGTTGGTGTTGTATTTTTGGGTGTTGTGCTGTAAATTTATCGCCTCAGGTGAATGTGATTATGTTTATACATGTAAATCAAAAAAAGTGCTAATTTGCATTAAAAGAACTTAATTTGTATCATCATTGAGACTTTTTGACTGATAAATGGCTTGAGGACAAGATTATGGCTTTCTGATTCCTGCGTGGACTCAGATATGGAAGAAGGCGGAGAAGGAAGGATAAAGTTGAAAGGTATAGGGAGAGAAAGAAGGGTGAAAGACCCTAGTAATCTGTTTTTACACCTGTAGAAAGAGAGAAAATAACTGAGATAAAAGCAACATATTCCTATATATATATGTATCACTAAATACATTTGTAATGTATAATGTATTTAGTGGCAAAAGCAGCCCCAAATAGTGTATCTGTTCACAGGTTTCTGGATATAAATGTTCAATAGGCAGACACTGAGCTTGAAGCCACAGGATACAAACATGTTAAAGTGTTTGATCTACTTCAAAATGTAACTAATTTTATTATAATTCAGTCCCACATCTATGAACGGTGATTCTGTTTTACCACTTTGCATCGTCGAGGGTAATTTAGTCGAAAAGCCAAATTAATATTTAGTTCAATGTCCCTTGGAACATTGCAGAAAACTAATTATTTTTCCTGGTCTGCAATCACAATCTGGCATTTAATTTCAGTTGTACATCTAAGTTAATTCCCATCAGAAAGCGGTGAAGCTCATTCGATTAATTTGATTTTCCAGAATCTTGATCTGAACTTTAAGCCGTTAACTGGCTCCACTCATCAGATTTAAAATCTTCATTTGCTTCCCAGTTGTTTCCACTGTTTAGTTCTTGGTTTGTGGCAGTGAACCAGACCCTCAGCATGATGCCGCCACAAGCATGCTTGACAGTCTTTCAAACAAACTTACTGTCATCGTGTCCAAATGCCTCAACCTTTGTCCCGTCGCCATATTTGAGTGATACTTGATGGTGTGTCTATGACAACGAGCTTCTAGAATGGCCTTGACTTAAAATGCACGGACTATTTTTAAATGTGCTTGGAAAACCAACCGGTTTACTCGAACTCCTCCATTTGTCAAAAAACGAAACCGTAAAATCCAGCAAGAGTTAAAGCCAAAACGTGGTTGAGGTTTCTACTAAAAGCGAGTGTGGCTCATCTGGAACTTGCCGTGGTACGTTTTAATGGCCTAGATCTACTCATTACGTGCAACCGATTAATGGTAAATGTGAGCAGCTGTCGAAGCAAGCTGTGGATCGGTCAGGTTTTTATGAGGGCAAACCAAGCAGGAGCGAGATCAAGGAGGTCTAGCAGCTTTAGGCGAAGATGTCTGCTTGGGAAGCGATTTACAATATGAACTCCCATATTTCCAAAGTCTCCTCATTTCCCTGTTCGATAGAGAGAAAAACAACACTACACAAACAAGAAGACACATTTCATTTGAATGCATAGAAAGCAGAAGTTTGGCAAAACCTCAAACATCTTGAGCTTCCAGGCTCGGTGGGAGAAGGCTCGACTGCTCCACCACCACAAAACCCAGCCTGTCCTGCAGTCACCGAGCTTGACTTCTGTTTTTCCAAAATGCATTAAAACTCGGTCAAGCCAAAAGAAAAAAAACAAAAAAAAAAAACTCCAACCCAACTTTAGTCATCTGATGCAAAATCTAGACAGCTACACAAATGCCTGTTGACCTCAAACTAGTGAAACGCTACAATTAGCTAGTAATATGCTGCTTCTGTATTTTACATGACTTTTGCTCTGCAAATGCTGACAGTGCAGTTTAACAACGATTTCATCAACTAGGGAGTAAAGAAGGCTTTATTTAGGCCGCTAGAGAAAATTGAGAGTTTAACATCTAATCTTGACTGGATGGATAACGGAATGGACAACTTGAGTCAAATCAAGATTAAAATACATCTATGGATATTTTCTCACCGATGTGATTCAACAGGGAGTTTTTCTTAAAATGCTCTCTGTTCTACACTTCTAAAATTATTAGGGAAAAAATGCTGTAAATTACAAACGCATGGTTAAACAAATTATGAATAAAAGTGTAGTGTGAATTAGATTTTTTTTTCGTTTCAGAAACAAACGACTTTATTGAAAAGCACAGGTGTTTCTTGCAAGTCATGCACAATAGTAAAAAAAAAAAGAAAATAAAAAGAGAAGACATTAATTAAAATCTTTAATTTACCATAATATAAATGTCAACATCTGCAAATACAAAGACCATACCTTGTACATGATTATACCTTCTGTAACAGAAAAGTGCAATTTGCCCCGGACATCTGTGCTGTGACAGCAGCGAGTGTCTTTTTTATTTTATTATTTTATTTTTTAAAGCAGGGGAGGGAGATACTACAGAGAGAACGATAGTAAAGCTTCTTGTTATGCTGCGGTTCAATGAAAAACTCGAGCCAACCAAAGCAGATCCAACACATTTCAGGCCACGTCACAGAACAGAACAATCCTGAAAAAATAAACATTTTCGCACACAATTCAAACCAAATGGAAAAATAGAGCTATGTACATCTTATACAGACTGATATATGTACAAGTCATTATCTGGATATACGTTCACGTCACTCAAACGGTTTCATTAGTCATCTTATATGTGACAAACCTAAAACATAATAATACTTTTCATTCCAACAACTTAAGAAAATGTAAGTTTCACGTGAAAAACGTCTTGCTAGAAAACGAGGAAGATGAGTGGATGAGTTAGCACCAGTTTAGTTTGAGTCTCCTGTTCGCGGACTGAGGCAGGACAAGAGGCGACAGACGTCGGCCGTTGCTGCGGCGAGACCTCGCGTGGACGTTGGAACGGGCAACGCACTGAAACAAGCACTTATTTTATGGCGGAGGAAATCGACGCTATTAATAATGCATCGACCTCACAGAGCATAACCATAAATCAGTCGCAAGTAAGACAACCGCCAGAGCATCTGCTCCTTTGAGGACTGCGCAGTGCTACATTTAAAACGGCAAACAACATCTCAAAAGAAGAAAAAAAAATCTAATTAGCGTCTCTCATCAGGCATTCAGGAAGAGGCGCACATTATCTGAGCCACTATTAGCTGTCGTGAGGTGTGGTGGGGTTGTGAGTGGTGCTGCATTAGCGTGGAGCGTGAGCAAAGTGCTGTCCGGTCCAACATGCTGAAGCATTAACACAGTGTCATCTCGCAGCGGAGGGAAGAAGATGAGAGAAGAAAGAAGCAACAAGCCGACTGGTGTCGTTTGGCACCTACCTTTCACACGTCTGCTGAGATTCAGTGCAAGTCTTTACTAAGATACGTGTTCGCTTGCAGCCGCAGGTAAAGAGTCGTAGATCTGAGGAGGAGCTACAGTTCGCAGGCAGAAATAAGGATGGGATGTTTACAAAAAAAAAACATGTGACCGGCAACCTTTGCTTTGAAATATAGTAGAAAACAAAAACCACCTGGTCGATCAAAGTCAAATTCACAAAAAAATATATATATAAAGAAAAAAACCATTATTTTCCTGCGTACGAATGACCATTGAAGACTCCTGTCAATATAAAGATCTGGAAATCAATTTTTTTTTTTTCGTAGGATTCAAACTTTATGAGCTGCATTTCTGAATTGGGGGAGGGGGCGTGGGGGATACGAGTCAGTGGTGCAGCATTAGCATTTAAAAACGTGCACAGCTCTCACGACGTACTGCCTGCATATCGGACACTGGTTCATTCTCTTGCCGCAGTCGGTGCAGGTGACCAGGTGACCGCACTCCAACAGGACGCAGTCGATCACCGCGTCCATGCAGATCCTGCACAGATTGTCGTCCTGCAGCGTCAGGGGACACTTTTCGCCATCTGGAGAGGTGGGGACAGAAGGAGGAGAAATGGGAGGTGAAAAACGGAGAGGAAAAACAAAGAGAAGAAAACTAAAACGGTGGAAATAAATTAAGTATTAGGCAATGAAATAAATTTAACTGCATTCAGCACCTCACTGAAGTGCTTATTCCAATATCTTTTATTTGGAATTTCATTAGTGCATCAGCGTGAACACATCAGTGTGAACACAAGAGTGAATACCATTCAGCAGGACAAATGGCACGGATGGATAGCGGATGAGGACGGGTTCACAACGGACACACACGTAGCGAGAATGCGGCTTTGCTCATACGATGGAAGAAGCGAGGCAGAGGTGGGACACCTGACCACGGTGATGATCTATAACCTTACCTCCGATGGCACCGTTGCAGAGAGGAGAGGGGAAGGCCATCACTTTACAGCAGGAGGAGTAAAGCAAGCATGAGATAAGTTTATCATGACGTCAAAAAAAAAAAAAAAGCTACACGAATAATCCATTTTTTTTTCCCTTTGTCTTATCTGTGTAAATTTATGGCAAGATAATGTCACCGCCTACAGGACAAAATGTCAGAAAGCGAAAAGATTGATGAAGTTTCTGTGGTTAAAAACAGGATCCTCCCAGCCAGTGCTGATAATCAAAGATATCTACACTGCAAAAATATAAATGCCACTTGCCACAGCGGCCACCTGCTGAGGGGAATGTTGAACTGCATATCACGCTGAATGTGCCATTTTCAACATTTGAATTACTTATTTAAAAGTTAAAATAATTGTGCAGGTTTCTGTGTGCTGCAGTGCGCATGAAATAACATCAACTTTTCCTGTAGAGCATGAAACCTGATTGGTTAATGTGGCCAGGAAGCCAACGTTTCAGACCAATCGGCTTGAGACGAGCAGAGCGCAGCGCATCTTGAAAGTATTCACTGCACTTTGCTTGTTCCACATTTTAACTTAACACAACATCCAGCTGTGACAGATTACAGAAATGGCATTTCTTGGTTTCCTATTTTTAATAAATTTCCCCCGCCCCCCCAAAAAAAACAAAAAAAACAAAACAAAAACTCAATTAACTCAATCATTTTCCCACATTGTTTGCTTCTGGGTATTTATGTGTAGGATTTTGAGGAAAAGGGTCAACTCAATCGATTGCAACGCGAGTGAGAAAATGACGTTCATGACGTGGAATAAATTAAACCAGTAATAGCCAAATAGCTGCGTGCGAATTAACAATTAGACGTCAATTTTTGAATGCACTCAAACAGAACTTTGGCCCTTAATTATATGGTCTAACCCAGCGCTGGTCTGAAGAGGCCCCACTTAACCAATCGAATCTCAGGAAATATTTGACATCATTTCATCACTTTTTTGGTACATTGTGATTTAAATAAAAATAAAAAAAGTAATATAAAAATGACCATTTAAAAATGGCCCCTTTCTGGCCCTAATATGATATTGAATAAGGAAAGTTGTGAGACCAAAAGCCAAGTAAACACCTACATGTATTTGTATTCTTCTCCTTTTCTCTGTATAATCTGTTGACGCGCTCCACCAGCTCCCATTTTTCACAGCACCCGGAGTAGTTGACGAAATTCCTTGCCAGGATCTCCTTCAGCTGCCTGACTGACAGGCCCTTGATGTCCCTCACGCTGGAGATGTCAGAGACGGATGCTCCGGCTCCATGGCGTGTCTGAGGACTCGTCTAAAAAAACCAAAACAAAACAAATAAAAAAAAAACAAATAACATTGTTATAGACAAAAATGTCTGCTTTGTTTTAAAAACAATAATAAAAAAAATCAGGACTTAAAATCTGTTTTTGTATTGTAACAAGTATGAATATATGGATCATCTGAGGAGTTTGTTCACTGGAGTCCAAGTTAAGGAGCGACACCGGTGTGGTCTCATCCAAGTCCTGCAGGAAAACAATGTTCAGTCGGGAAAGTGCCAGATTACAGTAGATTAGGGTTACGCTCTCCTTTACCCGGCTTACTGGGTGAACTGGAAACAAAAGTGCATTGTACTTTCCATTCACAGACAAGACTAGCGACTCCACAAGCAAGCGCTTACAGCGAATCCCGACAGTTCAGAGGTGAGCTGTGTCTGTAAAGCGATCGGGCTCTCTGGTTGGTTTCTCACCTGGTTGGTTTCGGGACTTTCGCTCCTGCTGAGCGATTCCTCCAGCGTGGCAGCAGACAGCTCCGAGGCAGGCGGCGCGATGGAATCTGTTAGCGTGCGATGGATGTGAGAGAGGAGGCTGGCCGTGTTAGGGTCCTCCACCTCCTCGTCGTCATCATCATCATCATCATCATCCTCCTCCTCATCCTCATCTTCCTCCTCCTCGTCCTCCACCTCAAAAGCCCGATGACAGAGGACCAAATCGACCAGGTCCTCCTTCTCCCTGCAGGTGTCAGTGGAGATGCTCCGCAGCAGCAGATACTGACGCAGGTCCCTCACTGGCAGACGCATGAGCCGCGGCCGATGGAACGCCGTGGCCTTCAGCAAATGGCAGGTGGCGCAAATGCGTAGGCTCTCCAGAACCTCGGTGCACAGCGAGCAGAAGCTCTTCTTGCAGTCGCAGCAAGTGTACTGGATGCGGGAAGGAAACGACAAGCTGGGGTGATGGAGGTGAGGCAGACGGACGTTTTCACACAGGTTTAAAAACTGTCGCCAGACCCTAATATTCGGTCATAAATTTAAAGTCTATGCTTAGATTTGTTTGTTTTTCAATTAGCTCACAAGGATAAATACTTTTTGTTTTCTCTAAAACGCTAAAATCTTTTCCCTGTTTTTGCATTTATGTATTAATTTGTACATTTTTAAAAAAAATACGAGGATCCATTATGAATCCAGACAGCGCTCCAGAGTGCACCATTAACCCTCTGATGCGTAAGTGGGTCCTTTTTGACCCGGTGAGGTCATCTTTTTGCAATATCTTTGTAATGAAAAGTTTTCATCACTTCATATTACAGGTATTCCTCAAGAAACATGTTACTGATATCATGCAATTAAAATTTTTAATTTACCTTTTATATTTTTTAAGAAATAGCATGTTTTATGTTACTACCCCATTCTTCCGTGAGTGGGTCCAAAATGACCTGAATTCATTTCCTATGGAATTTAATGGGAATCTTTGTTTCTTACCAACTGTGACTGTCAGGAAAACATT